GGTGGTGGTGGCAGCGGCGGAGGCAGAGGCAGAGCGGCTGGGGGAGGTGGTGGGGGAGCCGGAGAAGGTGCCCATGCCTCGGAGGAGGCTCTCCATGCTGGGGAGGGGGGTGGCGGCGCGCATGATGGTGGAGGCAGCGGCGGCGAGGGAGGTTTCTTCGCCCGTTTGGGCGGCGGAGGAGGTGTCTTCGCCCGTGAGGGCAGCAGTGGAAGAGGTATCATTGCCACTAAGGGCAGCAGCAGAAGTATCTTCGCCCATTGGGGCGCCAGCGGAGGTGTCGTCGCCCATGTAGGCGGAAGAGGAGGGGTTGCAAGTGGGGTGGTTGACGGACACCCAGCCAGGCATCTATCAATTAGTTAGTATAACACAGATACATCAATATACATTTATAAAACACGTAAAACAATGAAAAAAATAAAGGAGGACTTACCTGGAGGTGGGGGTGAGCGGTGTTATCAATCTACAGAAAGAAGAAGAAAGGCAAACAACACAGGTTGGGTAGTACGCTTAAATTCACCTACCTACGCTTACCGTTCGCAACATGTGGTTGCGAATTGCAACCCAGTTGCAACGCCTATTATAATACGCTTACAATACACTGACATCGCCAACCCTAGGATGCAGCCCTTTACCGCTCGCGAAGCGAGCGGCACGTACCTCGTAATTCGTTCCATCCTTTGTTCCAGCTCTGACGATTATTTTCCTTGGGTCTAAACCCGAGTCTGCTGATTCCCATTAATTTCTCCTGTCTCGCTGCGTACAAATAAAAAGAGAAGATAGTTAGCCATTGCTGTTATATGTAGAATATACGAAGTCTCGGGTTTGTATTGTTGTAATTTGCACATTTTTGGGTAGAAGTTGCGAGTTTGTGGTTTTTTAAATGATAACTAATAAATATATCATTAAAAATATAAAAAATATACCTAACCGTTCCTTTAATTCCTAGCACCCCCTTATTATGACATCCATTTAAAATAAAACACTGCATCTCATCACCCTACAAAAATCAACTCTTCTCTTTCCTCATCCGCCCTCATAAAAAATATATATATATGTGTGTGTGTACCAAAAAAAAAGGTCAAAAAAGCAAAAAAGATAATTGAACAGAGTGGGACTCGAACCCACGCCACTTTCGTGACCAGGAAACTATATGAACGAATCACATGTATTAAGGTATAACCTTAACCTGGCGCCATAACCATCTCGGCCATCTGTCCGGGGTGCTTGTTGTTGATTTGGGGCGCTTATTACGTCTTTTGTAGGAGTCGGCAAATTTTTGTGTGTGTGCCGACGCCGAAATTTCTTTAGCGGGTACCAAAGGAAAAAGAAGGGTTTGGGTCAGGTGACTGGGGCGGCAACCGGACTTTCGATTAGAGTACTTAGAATAAACTTTAGCTTTTTTGTTTCTTCTCAATGGGGAAAGAGCGACACAGAGGAGACTAAAATTAAAAGAAAATGATATATTTAACAACCAAGATAGACCTCACAGGCCAAAAAAATATATATACATGATATCAAATACCATCATAAAAAAAAAGACCAAAAAATAATGAACAGAGTGGGACTCGAACCCACGCCACTTTCGTGACCAGGAAACAACAATGTGAAAGAATCACATGATATTAAGGTATAACCTTAACCTGGCGCCATAACCATCTCGGCCATCTGTCCGATGATTGATGGATAGTTTATGAGTAGATGGGTATATATACCCTAACGAATACAGAAAATAAAAAATGAAATCGATCCCCGCCTTCATGATCCCCGCTATGGCTGGGAGGTTGAGAATGGGGATTGCTTCAATACGCTTCTATTCATTGGGGAAGGGGTCTACAAGATGGGCATCTACGAGCTTCACTTCTACAAACCTCTCCCCCACAGTTCCCCAAACTGTCCTCAATTTTCATCCCTCCCTCAGTTTCCCCATTCATACATCCATCCATCCATCCCCCCTCGTCCCCCTCTAACCCGCTCGCCCTCCAAAGCCCCGAACCGGCATCTCCCCCCAAAAATAAATCGCCGTTACGCCGTTTTGCCGTTTCCGGAATCCTATAAGTCCGCGGCCCAGACTTCCGAAGTAGGCAAGCAAGAAAAGCAAAGAAAAAAACCGAAACTGAAATTAAGGCCGCCCGACTTCACCCGAAAGGGTCCAGTGGCAGAGATAGAGAGAGGGGTGAGAAATGGAGATGACTCAAGTCTTGGCCGCCCGCGCGCCTGTTGGTTGCTGGTTGCTGGTTGGGCTGAGGACACGACACCGACACGCGATTCCATCGAGTAAGTAAGTCCGTTCTAGCTAGCAATTCTGCCATGGAGGGGTGTCTCCGAAGTCGCAGAGGCGGGGGTCTCCGGTTTTTCCTTTCCCTTTCGCTGGTTTAGGTTTATGTGTGTGGTGGGCAGTTAGGCGAGGGCAGGGAGGGGTGGTGATTGGTTGGATTGTCGCGGGCGCACTGAGTAATTCGGGGATGTCACTACTGTGGCCGCCGAGAAATGACAATGCGGTACGTAGGTAGAGAGAGGGAAGGGGGGGAGGGTTTATCGGGGGGATATGGAATGGGGTGGTTGGTGGCAGGTTGTAGCTGCCTGGGGTGAGTAGGTTGTTATGTGATGTGTGTATGTTATGAGATTATGTGTTGTGAGCCGCGGGGAGGGGGGGTTATTGATGTGTGTATGTTATGTGTATCTATAATCTCAAATCGTGCTGCAAGTGAGGCAGGCAGGTACTGGGGATAGGGAGAATATTGGCAATTCTTTAGGAAGGGATGAACAGGGAGACGACGGGGGGGTTGATGTGATATATGTGTTTCTATTCCCTTCGTGCAACCCAGCGCAAAGCCCATCTTGGAATTTCATTCTGGAAGGAAGCCTGTAATTGTGCCTATGAACAGCATTCAAATCCCATACCAAGCCTCGCATCTCCCAGCGCCGAGAGAATTGGCATTTCCCGCCTACGTACTTGGCGAACACACACACACACACACACACACACCCGCCTATGACCGAACCAACTCCTGCTCAGCGGTTTCCAATTCCCATTCCCCGTTTCAAGGGAACGAACCCCCCCCTCGAGGCACAGAGCCCCCAACTGAGTAAATCCCCGTTACACGCCTACAGCAGTAAGTACAAGCCTAGAAGTACAGTACACCTCCCCCCCGTACCGCCGCCTCATCGTCATCCCCACCCCTCACACGCTTAGTCGCGTGTCTCGACCCTTGCCTCCCCAGCCTCATCAACACACACAATGACGTTCTAGCGCGCACCCTTGCCTGCGTCCTCGTAGCAGCGGTACGTACCTACTGTCTCTCTCTCCTTCAGGGCAAATAAGAAAACCGAGATCGGTGGTGTTCAAATCTGGCGCTAAGGCATGTGGTGTGAACCCCTGTCCGAGTCGCGTCCTCGGCTGCGGCGATACTAGCTTTATCTCTGAAGGGCAGGTGGGCCAATCGGGAGACGGGATAGGAGGGGGGGGAGATAAGGAAAATGCAGGGTTGGGGCGGGGAGGGGTTAGGGACGACATCGAGATGTCGGTCATGGTGGTGGTGGGCCAGTAGGAGGGGGGGGTTGGAGGTGCCCGATCGGAGTACGGAGGGACATGGGGGGTAGGGATGGGGATTTAGGCTGGGGGGGGGGGTTGATGCTTATTTTGAAGTGGTGGTGGGACGGATGGGAGGGGATAGGGATGGGATTGAGGATACGGTATGTATCGTATATTTGTATGTACTTACTCCGTATAGTTGTTAAGATGGGGGATATGGGGTAAGAGTATGGGGTATGAGCTGGGGGATGCGTGGGAGAACCGTTAGATGCAGCAATTGTTGTGTCCATTGTCGTGTGCTAACCTCCTCGACTCGCCGAGGAGGAATTCCTTCTTTCTGCAGCGGGTAGGCGCAGACAGGACGACACTCACACACTCACTACTGACACGAACACTTCCCGGTGGCGACACCAACACCAATTCTCCTCCACTCTCCTCCCTCCGAAAACGCCCTCGACGGCGAACCGCACCCGACAAACGGATACTTTTACCCGCCGCGGCGGATAGAGTGTGGGGACTCCCCCGATCGACACCGGAACCCTGTTAGTCGAGCTAGTCCACAGTTAGCCCCTCCTCCCAAAGTCTCTCTTAGTCGTGCCTGTTACTCGACCGAAAAGGCCCTATCTTGGAGAGATAGAAGACCCAAACCCTTGCAAATGAAAAGAAATCAAGCTCCCCACTCTCTTCTGCCACCCACACTCTTCCCCTGCCACCCCTACCCCCCTTACCCTTTCCGTTCGGAGCTACCCCACCGAACCCGCCACGCTCTTGTCCTCTCCTCCGTCTTCCTCCTAAGGGCTCCAAGGAGATAAAAAGACCAAGACTTCCCACAACCATCTTCTCTTTCTTCTTTTCATCCTCCTCTGTCCACTCTCATCCATAAACCAAAAACTATTCTCTTCCATTGACAAACCTGCCATATACCCAACCCGTGACAATCGAGAGACATCAATCCTCACTTACAACTTCTATCTCACCTTCCAAAACCCACAATCAACATGTCTAACCTCGCACACGAGCCCGAGTTCGAGCAGGCTTACAATGGTATGTCCCAGCCTGCCTCACACTTGCCCCAGTCGCCACCAGCGATCAATGCCTCTTCGTCCTCCGGAAAAATTGAATTGTAACTGACTTTCCCCCCTCAGAGCTGGCCTCTACCCTCGAGCACTCCTCCCTCTTCGAGAAGCACCCGGAATACAAGACCGCCCTGAAGATCGTCTCCATCCCAGAGCGTGTCATCCAGTTCCGCGTTGTCTGGGAAGACGACAAGCTCCAGCCCCAGGTCAACCGCGCCTACCGTGTCCAGTTCAACGGCGCCCTCGGCCCATACAAGGGTGGACTTCGTTTCCACCCCACTGTCAACCTGTCCGTCCTGAAGTTCCTCGGATTCGAGCAAATCTTCAAGAACGCTCTCACCGGTCGTAAGTTCAGCCCCCACGCGCACGTGACCCGGCTTCGCCACTCGGCGAAAACCGGAGCGAGCCAACTTTCCCCCCCAAGAACAGAGCGCTGACGTCATGAAACAGTTAACATCGGCGGTGGCAAGGGTGGAGCCGACTTCGACCCCAAGGGCAAGTCCGATAACGAGATCCGCAAGTTCTGCGTTGCTTTCATGCGCGAGCTGAGCAAGCACATTGGCGCTTACACTGATGTTCCCGCTGGCGATATCGGTGTCTCCGGCCGCGAGATCGGATGGCTGTTCGGCGCCTACCGCGCGCACCGCAACAAGTGGGAGGGAGTCCTGACCGGCAAGGGAGGAAGCTGGGGTGGATCTCTCATCAGGCCCGAGGCCACTGGTTACGGTCTCGTCTACTACGTCGACCACATGATTGAGTACGCCGGCCAGGGTTCGTTCAAGGGCAAGACCGTCGCCATCTCTGGATCTGGAAACGTTGCTCAGTACGCTGCGCTCAAGGCTATAGAGCTCGGTGCTACCGTTCTGTCGCTGTCCGACTCTGCTGGTGCGCTCATTGCCAAGGAGGGCAAGTACTTCACACCCGAGGATATCGAGGCCATTGCCGCCCTGAAGGTCAAGCGCGAGTCGCTGTCTTCGTTCGAGTCCGCTTCGTACACGTTCATCGAGGGCGCCCGCCCATGGACCCACGTCAAGGTCGACATCGCGCTTCCCTGCGCCACCCAGAACGAGGTTTCCAAGGAGGAGGCCGAGGCTCTGGTCGCCAGCGGTGCCAAGTTCATCGCTGAGGGCTCCAACATGGGTTGCACCCAGGAGGCCATCGATGTCTTCGAGGCTACCCGCAAGGAGAAGAAGAACGGTGCTCTCTGGTACGCACCCGGCAAGGCCGCCAACGCTGGTGGTGTCGCTGTTTCCGGTCTCGAGATGGCCCAGAACTCCCAGCGCATCAGCTGGACCACCGAGGAGGTCGACAGCAAGCTCAAGGACATCATGAAGGATGTCTTCCAGAACGGTCTCAAGACCGCTCAGGAGTACGTCCCCAGCGCCGAGGGCGAGTTCCCATCCCTCGTCGCCGGCTCCAACATCGCCGGTTTCCTCAAGGTCGCCGACGCCATGCACAACCAGGGTGACTGGTGGTAGATGCTTGTCGCGCGTCTATAGACACCTGTCCGATTGTTTGTTCTTGCGATCTTTGCGAGTTTTGTCTTTTTGGTGCGAGTCTGGGTCGGCGCTGGGTTTTTGCGGATATCAACTTGCTTTCACGCTGCTGGAGCTGGGGGGAATATCTGAAATGAAACGGGAAATGTATAGAATGCATGAAAGTTTGTCGTTGCGCGTGCGGGGCGGCGCTGGGGAAGGGGTCTTTGCAAGATCCGTCCTCTGTACATAGCTTACGAACTTCATGAAAAACGTTAAAAAATACCTTTGCTGTGCCTTGCTGCTTCCTTGAGTGACCCTCGCGTGCCATGTCGCGTCCAGACTTCTTCGACTTCGATAGCACCGCCTCGTCGTACAGCCCACCCACCCCTAGCCCAGACACCAAACCCCCAAGTGCGCCCCCCCAACTTACTTATAACATAACCCCCCCTCTAAAAGCGGTGAGTGGACCCCCCCATCCCCCAGTGCGCGGCTTGTCGCGGCTGCATCTGCACGACGCAGACGTAATCAGGGGGTGTGAAGTGGGGAAGCGACCCCGCACTTTTTATGTAAAGTAAACCCCAAAAA